TCATGTTTCTGCTTCTCAGCTTTGTGGTGAGGGAGAGAAGGAGGAGGGAAGAAACCCTGTCTGTAAAAAGTTGCTCTGTCAATCAGTTTCTTTGATAAAGACATTGATTTTAAAAAATTACCTAAAATGTATGTAGTCAAGGACAAATCCAAATAAATTACGGACAGAGCAATTAATCTTTTCAAGAATGATGCTAGCAGAGTGACTTAGGGGGCACAATTGCACTAGGAAGAGCTTTTCAAACAAATATAACCGTTCTTGTAATATGAGTGGAAGTTGACTGCAAGATAGTTTCAGAGGTCTGCTTTTGTTTTAATGTAAGCTAGGTTATTTATCTAAAGTGGGGCTTTTTTCTGCATTTCCCTCCAAACCTTTCAAAAGTCAAGCCAATTCCTAGGTAGTGTGCACAAGAATATAGTCAAGGAGATAAGCAAGGAGACTTCCTTATTCTTAGTGAACTTCAATAATTGGCTAAATATGTTTCAGCTCTGTTACAGGCTTATTCCAAGGATCATCTAGAGAAGAACAGCAGTAGTCTGTGCCTGTAAATGTTCATGTTTGTGAAAAGTTAGCATGGTCCAAATAACTTAAAAAGAGAAAAAGCCCTTAAAGTTTATCATTATACAAACTTATTCTCATGAGTTTATTCTCATCCCCACTTAAGACTTCTGCTTCAGTGTCGAAATTATCTTCCATAATCATGCACATATAGAAAGGGAATGTTGAATAAGATTAGCAACATAAATCTCTGCTGCTTCCTAAGTTTTACCCAGCTGCTTGGTGATTTCACAGCTGTTTCTGCAGTTGATAACAATTCCCATCGCTCTGCTTTCTGCAGAGCTGTCTCACTGCTCTACTGCAGTCTGCCTTGTCCCTATTTGAGTTATGAATCTTGTTTTAAAAAATTCGATAACAGAAATGAACAATAGTAAATATAATGGACTTATGTTTATTAGTGAGTTCTTCGATTCAGTCAGTTTGCCTTTTTTTTCCTGAGAGGAGTTTTCAGGATTATATTACTTAGGTTTTCTTATAGCAGAATAGATTTAAAAGGGGTTTTTAGTGGGAAGCATGTTGTCACTGTCAGTTTACAGCTAGGAGAATCAAGGCACAGGGAGATGAAGTTATTTGCGCAAAGAAACTGGAGACATAGAAGAGACAAAAAGCCAAGTATTCCAAGTTATGATTCACATAAGTGAGCAATAGAAATGAAGTTAAATGAGATTTTTAACTACAGAAATTCATGTGCCTAGCTCTTTCTGGGGGACTTGCCTGGGTTGTGACACCCATCATTGAGACGTCACATTATCAAAGAAAAATGTTACGTAGGGCCAGAAATGGGTGGCTGCTGCCAAGAAAAGAGGCAGAAACTGCTAGGAGAGCCGGAGGGAGAGCATCTCCTGGTTCAGTTAGGTTAGGAGCAGGAGTCAGCATACAGCGGGAGCGTTTCCATGCAGGAGTTTTGTTCTTAAGAAGCTGATAAATATCCAACAACTTTTCTTGTAGGAAACTTCCATGCTAGAATATTGTCACCTCCAAGTCATCATTCAGCAACATCTGACACTTCAAAGCCCGGAGCAGCTCTTACTGCTGCATGACTCTGCCTGAATTGACATACGAGACATCTTAAGCAGTCTTCCTCTGCTTGCTGAGCCAAGGGATTCGTAACGATGGATTTCTCATGGACCTGGTAGGTGTGCATGCTGATGGATTTCATGTCTTTTCAGTAAATCTCAACTTACATTTATTATTGGGTAAAACATTCCTCTCCCTTATGTCCAGTGTTAGCCACAGATTGCCACAGAAACACGTTCTTCCTCCAAGTCAAAGTAGCTCCTTAAGAATGTATGATTAGTGAGAGGATGCTGGTGTTGCCAGGTGTCTTTGCAAATCTCTTGCTTTGAAATTTCTTACCCTGAAACTTGAACCAAGTCACCTGTTGGCTTAAGTCAGAAGTGACTTTCCTGGCAATGAGGATCTAGTGCCCTGTTTTCTAGAGGTGAATACCTTCATTCACACTTCAAATAGGTTCTGCTGTTTATTTAACTTACAGTATTTCAATAGAGGTTTGTTTATTTGTTTTATATGAATGCCTGTCTCCTTACATCCTATTACAGGCAAGAACTGTGCTCCTCAGAAGTCAACAGGTATTTTGCCATTGACTTAATTTTAGTAGTTTAGGAGATTTTTTTTTTAAATTTCTGTTAGTTTTAACTGTATAAATGTATCTTCTTTCTTCATAAATCTCTGTAAAAGATGTCCAAGAGTTTTAATGCTCATTGGGGATGTATCTGAAGCAGAGGCACAAGGAGTCTAGAGACAGGAGTAAATATACTTAGACTGAGTATTAAAGATATTCAGAATAATTGTGGGTTTTATGAGCCCAATCCAAAGCCTTTTCAAGTTACTGGGGAGTTTCCCTTCTGTGACTGTTAGAGAGAGTATTTGGACTTTTGAATAGTTATTACAATGTATTTGAAACTACGAGACCTTTTATATGGAAAAAGGTTAATTTTTTTCCTCACTCAAGTTTAATAATAAAATATTGAACAAATTGAATTTGGCTAATGGTAAGATCAAAAAAAGGTGACATTTGGGGACCACATTCTTCCATTGTGCTGAACTTCTATAACATTTTATAGATAAGTAATGCAGCAACATGATGGCACCAGTGTGAGTCTCACTGCCATTTAAGTCAGTATTGAAAATGCAGAACTTGGGCTTAGATCCATGTGGGGACAAATCAGTGGCACTCTAGAGCAAACCCATGGTCCTGGGCTCTTTCAACTGCTATAAAAGGTACTTAATCATGCATTAGAATTTGAAGGACAAAGCAACAGAACCTAGGACAACCTAGGATATCTAAGGTGTCGGCACAGATATATTTGCTTTGTCTGATAAGCGCTGATCTGATCCCCTGACTGCCCTTGGAGATACCTCCAAGGAGGAGGTACCTTCACAGAAACACACAGAATCGTGGAGTGGTTGTGGTTGGAAGGGACCTCTGAAGGTCGTTTGGCCCACACCCTGTCCTGCTCAAGCAGGGTCACCTAAAGAAGTCTGCCCCAACTGTCCAGATGGCTTTTGAATATCTCCAAGGATGGAGATTCCAAAACCTCCTTGGGGCAACCTGTTTCAGTGCTCAGTCACCCTCACAGTAAAAAAGTCTTTCCTGATGTCCAGACAGAACCTCCTGTATCTCACTTTGGGCCCATTGCCTTTTGCATTGTCAGTGTGTACACTCGGTTGTGTTGTGCTCAGCGTTGTCATTAGGGAGGGAAAGGCTACTCTGTCTTGTAGTTGTTGAGCCCCTTGCAGGATTAAGCCCTGAAGGCAGCTGTGTACAGCAAGATACAATACTAAGCTGAGCACTCTTCCTTAGAGCAGTAGAACAAAAGCTTTGTCAAACCAGTTCTGAACTTTCCTTGTCTCATTAGGATTCAAGGAAACTCAGATACAAACTCTCTGCCCAAAAACAGAGTACAGCCTGTTTGTGTGTGTTTAAAAATAGTGAAATCCTCTTTCTTGCAAAATACACAGTCCGTTACATGAGGTACTGAGATACAAAACCAAGGGCTGTCCACAATGGAGGAATATATCTTAGCAACAAGGGTGGGAGTGGTGGGAAAGGAAAAGGAGAATACAAGTATCTGGCAATTAACTTCCTAGTCACAGATGTGAAGGTGATAAAAGTGATAAAAGCATTACTGCATTGCCAACGCTATTCCTTG